TTTAAAAAAAACATATTAGAAAAATGGTGAAACGTTTTTTATGTTGTTTGTTAGAGCGTTTCAGACCTTTAGGTATTGATCTTAGGTTTTCAGACTCTATTTGGATACCAATAGAATAAGTCGTATTGTCATAGTGATAATTACGATATATAAGTACATGAATAAGATTCATTCGTAATACTATTATCCAAGACTGGATCTACTAAATTTAGATAGATCAATTTTGAAAGATTTTTTTTCAAAAGATAAGATTACACAGACGCATAGACTCTATACTTCAAAATTTAATATATGTACTTTAAAATCACCATAAGTTAGTATCACTATTCTATGAAGGACATTTATAAAAATTCGCAATATCGTGCGTGCAATGCAATGAAATTACATCTATGTTTATTTATGTCTCATAACCTATTAAAAATATTTTTCTAACTTAGCAAACATTGGTTGGTAAAGAGCATTCAATTCTTATCAGTTTACATAACATTGTACTACAAAATACTTAACACAGAAACGTACTAATTGCACTGTTCACGACAATTTAGTTTTGGTTATCGCTAATACAAAGAATGTGGTTATCCTCATTTAATAGGCATTTGACGACTTCCAAAATGTAGTGCACAATACAGTATGATGCATGCATAAGGCCCTGGTTACCATTAATATGCATGTGGACCATTCTGTTACTCTATCTTGAGTTTCTTTGAAAATTTCTTTAGCAACGGATAGTGATCCTGTCTGCTTTAACAGTATATAGGGCATTTATGAAAAATAGCTCAAATCAGGTAGACGACTGTACACAGTGTCAAATCACCAGGAATGAGAATAGTTTCCGTCTTTCACATGGTCCTAAAGTGTAAGTCTCCTTTACAAACTTCCCTCAGTCTATAGGTTAATTGGTTATGATGTTTGTGCTTTGATCATATTCTAATTTATACTAATTAATAACCTACTTTGGCAACATGAAAATAAAGGTTTACATCGCATGTACCATTAGTAAACCTTCATCTAAGTAGATTCATCAGTAATGAGGTTAAAATCGACAGGAAAACATACCGGATGTTTAAACTAGTAGACGAACGGAGTGGCGGCCCTAAACGGAACAATACACTGTCACGTTATTATAGAATGGTCGATTTGCATACCATTCGACCGAAACGATCCAGACATAGATATGTGTGTCTTTTTGATCATTTCCTGCATCTTGTTCAATAGTTATTCGGTTGCTTTAATAGTTACTAAATTTAGAAATCCTGTAACTACATTTCCTGTACATAGATTGTTTATAACGGCTATTTATATATCAGTACGTAAAAAGGCTTTTTGTGTGGTTAGTTAGATTTTAAAAACTAATACATTCAAATAAATGGAAGTTCCTATCTAGACTACGTACAGTAATAGTTATGATGATACAGATTGGCAAGCAGTTGATTAAATTACTATTACAGTTAGGAAAGAAAATTAATTGTAACATCAATATGCATTATTAATTTAATTTATTAGTACCACAGTTCTCAATGGTTTATGAGAATTACATTAACTCGTTTTATTTAAAGAAGAAATCTACCCATTCGATGGACATCACTCGATGCTTGGAGTTACAAAAAGCATTCGAAACCGGTTGTAAAAGCTGAGTCTCCTTGACCTACATTGGGTCGAAGCTATGGGCAGGAAGAAAGGTGTCCTGTACATGTTATGTTATAGGGTTTTATAAAGTTGCCAGTTTTTGTTGGACCATGACTTCATTTTACTTATTTCTCCCCTAAGTAATACAAATAATGTGAATATCCGTTATGCTTTCACGCCTTAACGACATAACTGTACGACATAACATTTGGCGTACCTATACTTATTCGGGATGGACCAGGTTATAAGCTATTTTTATTCTATCCAGTCATGAGCATGACAACGTTAAAACTAGTATTAAATAAATAGAGTTATTTATGAATACGGCCAACTGCATGTAGTTTTGATAAACAGAACTTGTTACCCCGTTCAAAATAGTGGCCGCTATAATATTCAAATTAAATAGTATATAAAAATTATCAAGACTTTGAACTATAACAAAAGAGACGCTATAAAGCGAAGACGTTTCATTCTTGATACAATGTAGGTATGACTTGTAATCTTTCAAATATAACGGCTTTGATTAAAACAACGGTGATCCCAAAATAAAGGTGTAATGTGAAGTGTTACTTGACGTAGGTACATACGATATACATAAAGACAGTAAACTTGCTTTCTCAAGCGTAAAAGAGTTCGACGACCTTGCATTTGCAAATTTATCCAATCATTTCGTAGGTGGCAACTGCCCGGCCATATGAGATTCTTCAAAAACCGCGTCAAAAATTATTTAGGGTTTGTTACAGACACTTAGTTTCAATTTCTTACTAACGTAATGCGTTAGTAAGAATTTCTAAAGATATATTTATGTATTGTATGTAAAATTTGTGTGTGTGTTAAATACATATATATGTATTATTAGTAAATTATTATAGATGTTATCTATGTAGTTTAACTTAAAAGTTTTGACCCCTGTTTTTAGACTATAATACTGCTGCTCAGAGACTGGTACCCTTTGGTGTTAAGTTCACCACATTTAGATTTATACATTGTGCATTAAAGTTAAAATAAATAAATATACCGAATGCAATATTTCAGGAGTTATCGATAACAGTCTTAGATTGACAGAATCGTGTGTTGACAGCGTAAACTAGAAGCCAGCTAGCAGCAGCCAGCGTTAAGCTAGTTAGACTACGTCAGGTTCGTACTCACTTAGTACCAAATTTACGCTACACATACTATATTATAAATGCGAAAGTGTATCTGTACGTCCGCTACTTTTTCACGACAAAATAGCTAAATGAATGTTAATGAAGTGTAACATGAATGAGTTTATTATGAGTGTGGATATAGGCTACTTTAAAACTCTAATAAGCAGACGAAGTACCTATACTCAAAATATTATTATCAAGGAATACTTATTATCACCATTTTTATTAGTGGCAATGAACAAGCAAATGGGCGATTATTACACGAGTGGAAAACGATCAGTCAACACCATCAGTCAAAACACACTTGACACGTCTAATTTAGAAAGTCTCCTGAGAAATTTTGTCATAAAATGGTTTACTGCTTGAATGTAGAAAATATAAATATCTATAATATATCAGAAATTGATTAACAGTCGCGGTGCAAAGTGCGGTTTTCACTAATGTTTTGATGTAAGCTTGAATTAAAATTTTGTGTTTATTTAGGTTTACAGACAAAAAGGAGTAGCTAGGGGGTACGACGGCATACGTAGGGTTGACGGTAAGAAATACGAATACAAGGGTAATAAGGACGAGAAGAGCAGAAAATCGTGCCCAGTGGCGTGCCTTGCGAGATGATTAGTGAAAAGCTGCTAATTTGAAATCACAAAAAGACATTTTATTTTTATTTTTAGATATCTTTAACGTTTACCAAAAGGAGGAAGTTATAGTAAAATTGGAATGACAATTTAATAGTTTCTCTTTAGATTTGATTTGAAAGGAAAACTTGGCAAATTCTATCATCTAACGGGTACCTTAAAAGATGACTAGACTATAGTGGCACAACAATACAAATTTTTTTACAACGATAAATGTTCGAGGTTAAGCGAGTAATAAATAAAGAACAGTTCATCTGTAAGATAGAGAAACGAATGACTGGTTATTTCTTTACTAGGTAGATAATGAACCCGACATTGTCCGAGCATTTGCAATGACTCAAAAAAATAGTTAAGTATTTAATAATTTAAAATTTTTCGTATAACATTCCAGAGACAATTGTAATTTAATCAAGTGATAATAATTACAATAATTTGAGACTGTTTTGTTGCTATTCCTATAGTAGTAGTTACCTATAAAAAAGCAAAAGGCCAGAGAGAATTTCGAATATTTCAACTTGACATCAGGCGCATAATTTCGGGAATTATTTATAATTTACTGATAATTCAATTCTATTATTATATATTTAATGCATTAGTAATATAAATAAGTCAGTTAAGTTTGTTTTATAAGAATTGAGATAAAACCGTGTGAGACGGTTTTAAGACTGTTTTTAAATGGCGAACCGAAATGGCTCAAATTGCTAAGTCAACACAGTCCAGTTTACCTTACTTACTTTTTGTGAGGTGCCCACAAGGTATATGGGTATAAAAAATGTAAACCTGTTTAATCGACCGTTCAGGATACATACACTATCGAATTATGTAGGTAGATTAAGTACATTTATGGGAAGCCATATTTTCGGGTTATACTCATACTACCTATACCTCGTTATAAGATGGCATGGGTGACAGGCATATAGATGTTTATATTTACGAACTGATACCCGGGATGACAGAATGTTGGAGCTAAACATTTTTTATGGATGATAATGAAACGGTGTACCAGCTTGCGCTAACAGTTTACGGTGGCGGGACACCAGTGGAGGATGATAAGATGAGCATGAGCTCAAGTCAGTATAGTCAGTCAGTCAGTATAAATTTAAAATGTATAACACCTACTGTCAGTTTCATGGATTTTTTCGAAAGCATTTTTTTCTACTCAGCATTTATGTATAATATATCTATCAATATCAAAATTTGTACCTATAGGTAGGGTAATTTGAAAATACTTAAGTATGTATGTATTCTATCTCAGCTATTCATATTTCAATGCAAACGTCTTATTGACTTTAAACTTTATTGGTAGGTAAGAATTTAATATGCGGTAGTTATATATCTACTTATTTCTGCCTACCTACAACGGCTAGAAACATCTGGCGCCTATTATGTCGTAAATATAACATGTCTTGAATGTAGGTCATGGCTGAGCCCTTGTAACACAATTCTGGACCGCAGCATCCCGAATCGATATAGCCTGAAAACCTAACCTATTTAAGAAGAGACTACTGCGCTGCTTTCATGAGGCAGAGCGCATCAATACAAATTATCCGGTTAATACCCGGCAAGGATATAACAACATTAGAGATCTCACCTTTCTCTGGGCTTCGGCGGCAAATCCAGATTTAGCTGCTCTGTTGGTGGCCATGATTGAACTATATAACTATCTATTCTAAATAATAAATTAAATAAATCACAGACACAGGTTCTCGCCGTGAACTCACTGCGTATAGAATGTAAGATTGTAAACAGGCGCACGATCGGCAGCGGTCGGCGACGCGAACAACTTCTATGTGTGAGTGTATGTTGATGAATGACATCATGCAGCGAGACGGCGGCGCGACCGGCCGGTATTAGGTTTGGGGAAGGGCAAGAAGGCATAATTAATCGATAGTTTTATTCTTATTGGAAATTTTTGAGAACTCTAACGAGTCACAATATATTTTAGGTCGAGAAAAATTAGGGATTTTTTTGGACTATGCCTATTTTATACTAAATGAGGAATTTAGTATAAAGAATAATTTCGAATACTTAATAGAGATAAAAGAAGAAGAGAATGTAGATTATTCAATGCTTAAAAAAATGCAATGTAATTTATCCGTCAAAAACCTTTAAATAACTAAATATAGCTCGAAAATAAGCAACTTAAAGCGGTGTCGAATCAATATTAAAAAATGTATCATCCCCTATGGATGAAAATCTTTTTAATAACAGTACTGTACAGTACTCGTACAGACAATCTGACTGAACGTAAAAACCGTCTCTTTCCCTTAGGTAGAGCAAACAAAATGTTTCGTTATTATTTTCATTAAGTAGTGCTCAACATATGATTTTATCATTTATACTAATATGAATTGTAACACTGAAAGGAATTAATATTAAATATGATTTCTCATCACATATATAAAATTAGATCTTAATTAATTTAGTATATTATAACAATATTATAAAATCTTTACATGATAATAAATATTTTTGACTGAGCTTGATGACTCTGCGATAAAAAAAATGAGAAATTATAGCTTCTACTATGTTGGACTTAATATATGTTAAGCGTAATATAAGCACGTCAGCTGTCTAGCTACCCACACATTTTAAAATTACAATCACAAGGATATTTTACTTATTATTATTAATCCGACTCTTAATAGTTACCAAATAGAAGTTCTTATCAAAACCGTGACCATCAGAATTAAAGCGCTTAACCACCGAGACCGTCAATAAATATATCTTAAATATTATTATATTTTACAAAACTGTCGATAAATTTAAAGCCTGCATTAGTACATCACTACGAGTTCGAAATGTAAAACGAAAACCAAGTATGGAATACAATGTGACAGAATGAGTTAGCAACATTAACTATCTCGCTTGTACGTCTTGACGAAATGGCGGCAACCGCCCAGTTTACTTCTGTCAAGTTGTTTAAAGGAATGAAACTTATAAACTAACTTGGATAACTCAATAGAAGTCGTATATGAACATCCATACACATATATGTAAGAAGTATAAAAATGTTATTTATTACTGTATTTACGTTGTAGTCGTATTTTATATATCTATTTATTTTTATATGAACGGGAGGAAACAATATTTGCAATTTAGTATGTCTCTTCTACCGAACAAGAAGCTAGCACTAATTCTAAATCCTGGAATTATGGTAAATCTTATAAAACAATAATAGTATAATATTATAATTACATAGAAGTGACATCTGTAGTAACGCAGCAATACGACAGAGAATTATATGACTGAGTGGGTATCCTGATATTATTATCTTTGCTTTTGTCCAACACCAAACTATGAGTTGTTTTTGTAGAAATACAACAGAGGACGCTATTCACGCGTATACGAATATTGCCGCCAGATATGTTTACATGAATTATAATAATTTTATGTTTATTAGTATGTTTTACGGCTCTGGATATAAGTCCTTTTTAGCCCATGTTGACAAGTACTAATTCGAAGTTTTTCAATATAAATCCATACGCTGGGTTGCCAACATACCAAAAAATTGTCGTGTTGGGTAGGTACCTACATGAGATTTATTCATATATTTTTTATTTTAGTTCCATTGGGAACTCTAACCTGATCATAGTATTTTGACAGATTTTCATAGGTCTAAATCTCTATAAACTTGTACGAGGATAGAATGCCCAAATACCGAAAGTTAAAAATTTCGTATTTGTACCAAGATCCACATATAGTAAGTATCACTGTATTTGTTACTTTCCTTAAAATTGTGATAGTTGGCCCAAAAATTTGTTCATTTCTAATTTTTATTCATAATAGGAGTATAAAAATTAACTATCTTAAAATATATTATAGCGATTGTTATGAAAAAGATTTACATATTCACAATTAGGTAAAAAGTAGCCTTTTATTTTCCATTTTGTTTTTATTGATTTTTATCGTCATTTTAAAGATAGATGCGAAATATTTATTAACATACGAGTAGATGGACTGTTTGTAGACAAAACAAAGTTTTAAGGTATTTTTTAATTTATTGATTTCTCTAGAAGTGACAAAACAACAATTCTTACTCTTGTTTACTTGTGTTTCGATATTGTTCCTATTTTATTGTATCATGATTCTTCATGATGTAATAAGATAGGGACAATATCGAAACACTTAACAAACTATTATAATAACAAGTACCTACTTGTTATAAGTAAAATATAATAGTAATAATAATATCTCAGGACAATTCTCACAGCGTCATCTAGTCCTAAACTAAGCAGAGCTTGTGATATGGGTACTAGACAACTGATATAAATACATGGATACGTTTTTTTTTGTAAATAAAATACCTAGACCTATACAAACAAACATACTCATGAGAACAAATGTTTGTACCGTGCGAGAAATCGAACCCACGACCATCGGATAGTAAAGCGGTGTGCTAAACCACTAGACCACCGAGGCTGTCAATAATATAATATTCTATTTATCAACATCAGTCTTGGGTCTAATTAATCCAGTCCATTTCACATTTATTTACGTACAGATTCGTTTGCTTCTTATTTAGATTCTCAGGAATAATCTTTATAGAGTAGTACTTATATTAATTGATAGTTATGTAGGTAGAAGTTTATTTGGACCGTTTCAAACGTTTGTACGACTATTGTCTGAGGAATAAATTTAAATCTTATATAAAATAAATAAAAAATGTAATTTAGAATTATTTAACTTAAAATTATTTAAGTATAAGAAATACGCACTGATACTGATGTACAGGTAATTCATACTTATAGATATTATAAATTATAGTTAAGTAGGTGTACACTTAAAAACAATTGTAATGTCAATTTTACTGACTTATGTAGTTATTTGCAACATGTCAATCACGAACCTAAATTATTACGTTCGACAAAATATATAAAACTATGTAATTAAATATCTTTATCAAAATGTAAAATTATAACTTTATTCCATACTTACGAGAGTGGCTTCCTGTCCTTGAGAAAAAGAAGATATATATTCATAATTAAATAAATATGGAATACCGTGGTAGAAGAAATCGACACGGAAGAGGACACTCTCGACCGAATCCATCTACCCCGATACACACTGCAACCACACCACAAACCTCGAAAGCAGGGTCCGTCCTGAGTAGCTTGTGCAGTTTCTTTATAATGACAAGTCTAATTGTAATTATTTATTTGATGCTAGAACACCAATGCAGTACTTGTCATAAGAAATGTAATATGAATAATATCAGCAGCACTATTGACGATTTATCGGTAATGTTTTGTTTACATTGGATATTTATCAATGTTATCACTTCTATGGAGCCGATATTGGGCTGTCGTTTGAAGTGAAAAAGATGGGGTTCTAAATTTATTTGCCTACTTGTAAGTTTCTGAAAATTCATGTGTGATTTGTAACAAATAAATTTTTTTGTATGTGTATGTAAAACACGATATATTGGCCACATCCTATTTTATTTAATTTACATATTATTAATTCAGTTTGGTTGTTTGGGCTGACTGGTTTTTTTACATAGATAAACTTGCCAAAGCTAAGTAGGTACTTATGTCGTCTCTTTATGAGAAGATTTTTTTATATTAAAAACAACTCTAATATCGTTATGTGAAACTGCCTAAACTGCATTGATACTGGATTATTTCTAATATTTATTATGCAATCACCACTTTGTCTTCTTCAGTTGAGGCTTACCTCTCTTGAGATGAAAAAGAGAGGTGACAAATTATATTCTTATCCACCCGGTGGTAAGTAATGTGGAAGAGTATGTCAGATAAACGAAGATTTAAGATTAATAAACTCATAAGTATGTACTATACTATACTGTTTTTTTTTGGACTACTGTAATGGTGTTGGTCAAAGCTGACCTTTACAGCTTCACCGGATGATAGGGGGCAAGTGCAGATGGCACACCAAACCCGCAAAAGGACGTATGAAGGCAACTCTCGCCTGACGGATACGACTTTAGTCTGAGGGCACCGCTAGAGGTACGAACCTCGGTTCAGGCCGTCCTAATTTGGATCCTCGTTTGAATTGGACGAGGTCGCCTCTAATGATAACACTTCGTACAATCTTCTAACGTATATAAATGTAGAGGATATAATCAAACTACGTATTGTTTGTTGCAGAAAAACTTGTCACAGATAAAGGATAATTATTACGATTTAGAGGTGAAAATATCGAAATTCTCACATGACTTACCGAAGATGGAAGGGCAAATTCAGATTTTAGAAGGTCTAGCTAATACCATAGAGAATTGTAATTTTGTACGGCATTATAAAACTTCTAAATCTTTACCTAAAGCTAACAAATTTCATTATGAAACCATCTTGCTACCTTCGACAGAGTCGGCGAAAAATATTAGTAAGATTGTTGAAAGAGAATGTAATATGACTAATAGAGAAGGCTGTAAAGATTGACTAGACCAAAATAATGATTTCATATCTAATAGAAATCTCTGTTTTGGTACGTTTTAATTTATATTCAGAATAAAATAACAGTAAATTATATTATACTTTTTTATTATTAACGACTTTACTGTATCAGTACTACTTATAATGTGGGAGAATACCAGACAGTTCTTGTTAATTACCATTATTAATCATCCAGGAACTAATAATAGAATATTGTTTATAAACCTGCTAATGCTACAAGTTATAAAATGCACAGATATTTCTACTATTTTATTAATATAAACTCAAAATTTCCAGTTATTACAGTTATTGTCATAACATTCATAATTACCGTGACATTTATGTATTTCATTATTCTCCTTGGAATCGATACATTCTTCTAATTTAATGAATTTCGTTGTATCCAAACCAACACCTGTAGATTTCGGAGGATATCTTGTCACCGTGGAAACATTTCTACTGGGAAAGCTCTTTGTATTATACAAAATGTTCTGTACAGATTTACTGGATACTAATGATGCTTCAGTTTTTTTATCGTTCTTAGGATGCTCTTTTGTTTGTAATTGAAGATTATTAAAGACTTTATTACGATTATTGCAAGTCGGTTTGTTATTACTTTTTTCATATAGCTCCTTCTTCAACGATACTCCAGATTTCTTAAAATCAGCTGTTACTGTTAGTCCCTTTACTTCTTTATGTAGCTTGTCGTATGCATACCCTATATTGTTTACAGTATTCTGTAATTTAAAGATTTTTTAAATATTACATTTAAATTTTGCTCCATTTACATCACATTAAATAATATTTACTTTTAAAGTGTGAAGACTAGTTTTCATATTAGTTAATTCCGTTTGAATCATTAACCTTTCCCATAAATTAATGCTCATATGTCCGACTATTGCGAAGAGGCCAAAAAATATGACTGTGTCCATACACATAGATTTCAATGTTGCGTGATGAGGCATGTTTCATTCTTTAACAAAATTTTAGAATAACTTCAAATTTATCTTATCATAATTCACATTGTTGCAGTTTTTTGTAGTTATTAAATAATAAACATGACATCAGGTTGTTAAATTCTGACTGAATCAGTGAGTGCCTGAGAATTCTTAGATGACTCAAAATTTGACATCAGTTTGACAATAGCACAGTGGCTACTAATACTATGGCAGATAATTATATTCATAATCTATGGATTATGAATATAATTATTATTCTTAGCATAACTCAGGTTGCCTTCCATTTCAATGAGAAATATTTCGTTTGCTTTCGACTTGAGTCGAAAAAAGTAACAAATTATGGACAAACTACGTAAGTAGATTAGCCCCGATATACACGCAAAAACGAGTTTGTACGTTATGTATTCCAGCTTTTATCACTATCAAATTTGGCATTCCTTCGTACCGTTTCACCATTTCTTATAATGTCTAGAATTTTTATGCGAATAACGTCACGATCAGAAGTTATAAATGAAAATTGGGAATACAGTAGATATATCTTTTATTTATTTCATATCTTTAACAATATCAATTTAGTTCTTTTAACAATACATTATATGACTTGTCAAATTTCCGCATTATTTGTAGGTTCTTGTTGGTGAGCGTTAAACGAGTCTGTGTATACGTACGACATGATAGTACTTTCCTGTAAACATAATTAATTATTTATAGAAATAATTATTGGTTGATTAGTGAAAAGTATTAAATAACGAAAAATATCAATATTTTTCGTTAGTTAATACTTTTCTCTTTAAAAAATAACGAGACTGTTAAGTATATTTGTTTAAGTAGGAGAACCTACTTACCCGATATTTGTGCAAATAAGAAATGGACTCTATGATTTCTTTTGCTATATACTCTACCTCTCGAAACTAATAATTTTGGGACGGTTTTAATATGTTTTGTATTGATTTAATATGAGAAATTATTGTAAGCACGGTTAGTCAGGAAGTTCATTTTAATACTTTATATGGTGTATAATTCTATGTTATACGATGTCGAGCTAAACTTGGTTGTCTAATTGAGGTCCTTAATGTGCATTAGAATTGTAACAAAAATGTGAACAAAGTAAATAATAGTAGATAATTATCTATATGACAGCTGCGTGAAGAATTAGTCAATAGTCGAAAATGTAAAAAGAAAATATTTTAACTACCTCTGTGTACGACAAAGTTGTGAGTTTGGATGTTCGGGATAATATCGGGGCCTAATAAACAGATTTTGAAATTTCATTTAGTTTTGGTTGGTTAGACCTTTAGTCCAGGAAGCTGTAATTTACATAATATCATGCTAATACCAATAGGAGCATAGTTGGAATAAAATATAATAAAAAAAATTTGAAAATGTAGCGAACAAAATTGCACGCACTATTTATTAATTAAAATAAGGAAGAAAAAATGAGAACTGAAATGCATCTCGCAATGTATATTTTTAGTAGAACTTTTTTAATGTTATTTAATATCATATAGATATAATAATACCTCTTCATATTGTACAAAGAGAGTGGGATACTGTTTCCAGTAATCATTTCACCTTATGCGAGGTATTTCTATGTGGAAAGAAGATTCGTCGAAAGAAACCATTTTTTTTCTCGACCTGAATAGGTTCAGACATGGCTAGGTGGAGGCAGCGGCTTGTGCATATTGATAAATCACGAAAATCTTTCTTCTGCAAGAAAAATATATGCATTAATGTGGCGAATAGTTTGGTCTAACAGTAAACAATCTAATAATACGCAAAACGGCTTATTTTGTCTGTCCTGTTCGTTTTTGACCTCTAAGCTCAAATATAATTAATTCTGATATAACGATAGACAGAACGATACAAAGGAAAAAAATTGTAATTGTGGAAATACAACATGAAGACTGTTTAATGAAATTTTGTACGTAGATGCCACCATTTCTGAAGTTATGTAATTATATTATGTAGTACATCATAGTAGCGATAGCTTCGGTGATGGCGGTGTGTGAATTGTCCAGGGATATTATTATTTTTAATTGTGTATACTTTTTGTACGAACGCAGTTGTACGTAGCACTAGTACGAATATTAAGAAATATATTTACGTTAAACATAAATATATTTCTTAATATTCGTAGAAAAACAACACACAAGTTTTTGCTAGTCTTCTCAAATGAAATTATTTTGAACAAACGACAGATGTATTATATATGTCTGTAAAAGTATCACGAATAGTATAGATAAATATATTACATATTGGAGTGATTTTAATAATATCGAATTGTGATTGAAAATAATGTTAGTAATGACAGATAAGTCTTAATACTGACAGTTTCAGTAGCATCATCGTGCATAGAGCAATGCAGGTAGCAGATATCGTCAGCCGCTGCATGGCATGCGACTTCCGCACGGTCCACTTCTTGCTGTTCAACGAAAGTAATAAGTATTTCTAAATTTAGTACTTAAGAAAATTTATTGAATTTCTCTATTATTTGTAAGATGGGAATTTATGAATAACGTAATTGTAAGAGAACAGAGAGAACAGAGAGTAAACGGTAAAATTTAGAGAATAAGAATGAGTTGAATAAATGGCTCATTATCAGAGCAATTTACTCAACTTTCTGATATCATTTAATTGTATTCCTTTCATTATACGGTGACTGCAGTATGACGTGTCAGGGGTATATGAGAAAAAGATTTTAGGGTCCGAACGTCTTACATATAAGTACATAGACTTCAAATTACCCAAATAAATCTAGAGAAGATACTTTCTAATGTATATTTTAGAGTCAAATAAATCAGTCCTACTTACCGACATAAGATTAATGACTTTCTTTATAGACTTCAACTCGTTTTGGGCATGTATTTTTTGTGATATGTCTGGTATAAGAAAACTCAGTAGAACAACAATAAATACAGTTGCCAACATTATATAGTTATTCGTTATTTTATCATACATCAATCCTAAATAATCGGCCACGAGTTTGATAAATTGGTGAATATTGGCTGTATACACTGGCTGATTGGTGTTCTGTCGGGTCCCACTATTACGGCTTCGGGAATACCTGCCTGATTTGAAAAAGCTATTAATTAGATTTTAATATAAAAGTACATAAATGCAGATGCACTACATCATTATACTTTGTTAAGAATATTCTAAAATGTTACATTGTTTTGTGATCTAGTGGAGGCTCGAATTAGATCCCAAAGTTCAAATCTAATCGACACCAAAAACTTTATGACAAACTAATATCATCGAATAGCTAATAATAAATTTTTACGACTTATGATGGTAGTCTTTTCCTTATGTTGGATTCAAATATATCAAAGGAATCGGAGCGTAAGGAGGAGGAGTTAAGTGTAGCTACTTCATTACGGATAATACTTGTGACGGTTTAATATTATTATGTACATTGTTCAATATTAAGGAATGCTGTCGGATCCAGTTTAGATCCCCTCATTTTTGTGGATTGGAATGGTAATCAAACTAACGGCCCACCTGATTGTAAGTGATAGCCGTAGTCACTATACATGGTATCACATTATAACAAGATGAACATAGCATTACTATGTTATTCATGATTTGCCATTTCGCAGGACTAAAATGTCATCCAGTAATTTCACTACATTATCACACCTTACAGCCTTACAACCGAACTACAGCTTACGAAATAATAAATTTAGCGGCTGAAATAGGTTAGAGTGATACCTACGCAGACTTCTTACATGGCTCCCACTGTGATTCGTGATACAAAACCTTTACCTGCGTAAACACGCCGCTTTGCCATACTTATTCGTATTCCATTAATTAAACATTATCTTCTATTATTTACATACTTATTATTTTTTACATTGTAGTTATGTAGAATATTTAGTAGAGATTTTGACATATGATAAATCATAGATACATTTTGACAATTATAGACAATAAGTTGAGCATTTGCATATATTATATGTAGTGTAGACGTATAGATTGACTACAAACTTACTAAGTCGTTGTCCTGATTCAAAGCAAATATTTTTTAAAAGTAAATACTACGTGTTGCAAACCATTCGACAGATACCTAAAGGAACACTAAATCATCGACTGAAATAATAGAATTCTATATACAATTGCAACTATAAGTAGTGGTAATTAATAATTTCAATAACTATCCGTTGCGATTTTGTACAGTGTGTATTATGAGCTAATAATTTTATTTCGTGAAAACCCCGATACTAATAAACACATATGGCACAGTAGTAATAGTACTACTGTACCATATGTATGTGCCAACTCCATGGTATCAGCTCAGATCTATTCATGGTACCAGAACAACCCACAAACTAAACATACGATAATATAATATTATCAATCACAACTTCTTAAAAGGCTCTAAGTTTGTAAAGGAATGAAACATCAGATAAATTTTTCATTCTGGACTATTGCTCATGCATATGTATGTCCATGTACGTGTAAAAAAGAAGAAATTAATTTGTTTTTTGTTTTTTAAAAGGATGTCACAAAAGCTGTCTAAATATAATAGTTGTTCTGTAAAGACGTAAAATTCTTTTATTCCAATTTTCCTCGTAAAACCCTTCAGGTTATGGGCTATCAGAGCAAATAATAAGTAAAAATAAATAATATAGAATAAAAATAGTGGAGAACAACAGTAAAAATATTAAAATGGCAGTCGCAACGGCTGAAGAAATTCACCGAATTTGTCTTTTGGACGATGTCACTTCCTTTCAGCTATGGAAATTTGAAATAAAAATTCTTCTCGAAGCAAAAGGTCTATTACAATATATTGATAATGCAGACAATACCGAGGAAAAAATACAAACAGGTAAAGACGCTATGACAAAACATATTATTCTGCAAAGTGTATCAAAAAAGCATAAAACTCAATTGTTCCAATGCACAACTGCATACGAAATGTTTAAGGTACTATGTGATGTTTTTGAAGGCACAGAAGAACGAAAAAAAATGAATTTGCTTCAAGATTTTTACAACTATAAATTTGAAAATGACATATCCATGGATGAAAATTTTACAAAGCTTGAAAATTTAATACATAGACTGACACAATTAAAAATGCCATTTGACGATGCAATGATAGAATCTAAAATACTAAACATTCTTTCAAATATAGACAACTACCAATCTTTCGTAACAGCTTGGGAAAGTACTCCTAAAGAAGAAAGAACGCTAAAGAACTTAAGAATAAGATTAGTAAAAGAAGAAGAAAGAAAAAAAGAGAATATACAATCAGTGGCCCTAGCTGCTGGAAATAAAGGTAGAATGCGTAAAAATACAGGTAACGGTCAGGCATCTAGCTCGTATTCTACTAATATGTGTTTTAAATGTAATAAGACTGGTCATATAGCAAAATTTTGCAAGAATTTTTTATTTTGTAAAATTTGTAAGAAATCAAATCATAAAGAAAAAGATTGTTTTTTTCGGAAAAATAAAAACGAAAATAAAGTTGCGCTCTTAGCCGCAAGTAACAATGTTATAAGTGAGAGAACAAATTTTGTTCTTGATTCCGGTTGTACCGTACATATGGTCAACGATAAAACTTTACTCTCAAATATTAAATCCAAATCTATTGATGTTGGTATAGCTAAAAAAGATGCGACTATGGTATCACAATATGTAGGTGATTTTATAGGAACAGAATGTGATGTAACGAACGTTTTATGTGTGCAAGACCTTTCTCGTAATTTACTATCTGTTCCAGAGATTGTTAAAAACGGTGGTACCGTATTATTTGATCGACATGGCGTAGAAATTCGGAGCAGTGGTAAAATAATAGCTGGTAAAAAAGAAGATTCCGGCTTATTTGTAGTAAAACTGGATAAACAAATAAAATTTGAAGAACAGGCATACTTGTCTAATGAAGAAAATGAAAACTCAGCTGAAAATTGGCATAGAAAATTAGGACACCCAGGTGAGAAAATTTTAAAAATTTTACCTGATGTAGTAAATGGCGTAAAAATAGAAAATAAAAAAGGTATGATGACGAGTTGTGAAGTATGTATAAGAGCCAAACAACCAAGGTTACCATTCAAAACCGTAAGAACTAGAGCAAGTAAGAAACTTGAAATAATACACACAGATATTTGTGGCCCTTTACAAACGGAAACGTGGAATGATTATAGATATTTTTTAACTGTTTTAGATGATTATAGCCACTACACTAAAGTGTATCTCTTAAAATTTAAGGACGAAGTTACAACATTTTTAAAGAATTTTATTGCAGAAGCAGAACGAGAATCCAATTTAAAAGTTGTTACAATTCGTTGTGACAATGGTGGTGAATATACTTCACACAATTTTAAAAGTTATTGTATTAAAAAGGGAATAAAATTAGACTACTCTGTACCATACTGCCCACAATTAAACGGAAAAGCCGAACGTCTAAACAGAACTATACTCGAAAAGATTCGTTCTTTGCTATACATGTCTGAAATGAAAAAGGAAATGTGGGGTGAAGCTCTTTATTGCAGTGTATATCTGCTGAATCGATTACCAAGTGAATCAATAAATAATAAAACACCTTTTGAACTAAGGTATGGAAGGTTACCAAATCTTTCGAATGTTAGAGAATTTGGGTGTGATGCGTTTGCAAAGATATTGCCACCTAGTAAGAAATTGGATGCTAGAGCAGTAAAATATAGAATGATAGGATATACAAATAATGGATACAGACTTTGGGATGATATAAAAAGAAAAGTTATTGTAGCCCGAGATATTACTTTTGTAAAAAGAAACATTAAAAATGATGATAGTGAAGTAATACAAAAACAAGAAAAAGTAAATGTAAATACATACTTAAATGAAAAGGAAAATAAAAATAACAAAATAGTAAAAACTGAAATAAACAATGAAACAGAAGAAATAGATCAAATAGAAAAAGAAAACAATGAGGAAATTAACCCACGATTGTTTGAAGACAATTTTGTAGTAGGATCTACTTCTGAAGAAATAACAGATCACACAGAACCAGAAGAAAGTCTGGAAAAAAGGACAAGAAAGCTACCAGAAAAATATAAAGACTATGTTTTGCTAACCTACGAAGAAGTATTAAAAAGTCCTGAAAAAGAGAAGTGGGAAAGGGCAATCGAAAGTGAACTAAATTCTTTAGAAGAAAATAATGTTTGGAAAATAGTAGATAAATCTGAATCATATGGTCATAAAATATTAACTAATAAATGGGTATTCAGAATTAAAGAAGATGGCAAATACAAAGCAAGATTAGTCGTAAGAGGTAATGAACAACAAGACGTAGACTACGACGATATATTTAGTCCAGTTGCATCGCAGACCGCAATAAAAACATTGTTCGCCATTGCCGCAGCTAAAAACTACAATATTATGACGTTTGATGTAAAAACAGCCTTTCTCAATGGTAAGTTGCGTGATGATGAACAGGTATATATGAAAATTCCTAAGGGAGTTCACTGCGATTCTAAAAATAAAGTATGTAAATTAGTGAGGTCGTTATACGGACTTAGACAATCTCCAAAAAGGTGGAATGAAAAATTCAACGAAAAAATAAAAGAATTGGGATTTAGTCAAGTAAGAAACGAACCTTGTATTTATAAAAATCAAGAAATGTCAGTTCTTTTAGCTATATATGTTGACGATGGACTAATCATTGGTAAAGCAGAAGACTTAACACAGTTGTTGTTTAGACTAAATGAGAAATTCGAGATTACATCGTGTTCTGAACCTAAGTGGTATTCGGGTATGGAATTAAAAGCAGATAATGTAGGATGGCATCTAACACAAACTGAATACACCAAATCACTTTTAAAGAAGTTTAATATGGATAAGTGCAAACATGCCCAGACACCCGCAGGAGAGGGAGAAGTAGAGTGTGACAAAGAGGAAAAGTTGATATACCCTTATAGAGAAGCTGTAGGCAGTCTCCTATATTTGTCAACAAGAACTAGACCGGATATAGCGTTTGCTGTCAATAAAGCTAGTAGAAATATGGAGAATCCTCAGAAAAGGGACATAGTAGCAGTTAAAAGAATCTTTAGATACCTTTCCGGTACCATAGAGGATGGTTTGTGTTACAGGTTCGATTCCAATCTTAAGTTAACATCATTTTGTGACTCTGACTATGCGGGTGACTTAGAAACTCGGAAAAGTACTACAGGATATGTTATTAATCTTGGTGATGGACCAATTGCCTGGTGCTCAAGAAGGCAACCTATAGTAGCATTATCTTCTACAGAAGCGGAGTACATTGCGGCAGCAGAGTGCTGCAAACATACTATGTATATCAAGACGCTTTTAGGCGAACTAAACACTAAACCAGAAGACGTGTTATTTAAAATAGATAACCAAAGTGCTATTGCTTTGATTAAGACGGGCGTATTTAATAAACGGTCTAAGCACATAGATGTTCGTTACCACTATATCCATGAATTGTATATAAATAATGAATTTAGCATTGATTATTGTCCAACAGAACTGCAAATAGCAGATATATTTACAAAAGCCTTAAATAAAATAAAGTTTGATAAACATAAATTCTCTCTGTTAAGGCGAAGTACTTGTTAAGTTAGTTTCGTATATTATTAATTTTATCATGTACTGTAGTTATAGAAATAATTCTCACACGTGTGAAAATTAGAAGAGAGTGTAAAAAAGAAGAAATTAATTTGTTTTTTGTTTTTTAAAAGGATGTCACAAAAGCTGTCTAAATATAATAGTTGTTCTGTAAAGACGTAAAATTCTTTTATTCCAATTTTCCTCGTAAAACCCTTCAGTACGAACACAGACTAGACATTCTGATTAAAATTTTATTATACATGTATTTTCCTACAAAAATTAAATCACGTGGATAAAAAAATGTAAAAGTGAACATTTTTTATGTAGTTTGAATGGCAAACAATATATATTTTATTAAAGAAAACTCTCACAATTAATAACTTCCCCAATTTAATTATTAAGGCCTTGGATATCGTATATTCTTTGAACAATAAAAGTTCCCACAATAACATGTTTTTTTCCCTAAAATATTTTATTCTTTTTCAAAACTTCCTGATTTCTTCCAACTTTATTTGAACTCGGAAAAGTTCATTATACTACAGTATGAATTGTGCATTTAGGTCAAATTTTATGAGAACTCGCCTTGTACCGTATTAGGAATGTTCAAGATTAGGCTTTGTAAAATATTCATACGAAAATATTGGCAAACAACAAGATCGAAGAAATACACTTTGTCGAGATAATGTGTGTCGTAATTGTAATTACCAATACAATTATTATTAAACTGATCACAATTATAAAATTCTTAATTGACAGTCACACATTTTTTAACTGAATAACGTCAAGTTATACAAGTTTTCTTTAAAAGCGGAACTGGCAAGTTTCTTGCTCATTCTTCTTGGCTAAATCTGCATTTCAAAAGCGGTAGAATAAAATAAAAACTATTGAAAAGAGCTTAAAATTCAGTTTATTTGAATAAAGGCTGTTTTTATTATTTTCCTAAATCTAGTGGCGGAATTTTTATCTTATTAGTAGCAGATTAATTCGACGGTTTCGCTTTAGCGGTTTAGCAAACCGCCTATGGTTGCGGATTCGATTCCTTGCATGGTACAAACATGGTATGATATGGTGAGAAAGGGAGTAAATAACGGAATGACTGCGAACAGAGATGAATGGAAGAGAAAAACATATTACGCCGACCCCAAATAAATGGGATAAGGAAGAAGCAGATGATGATGCATGGTACAAACATTGTATTATAGTTATATTCGAATTATGTGTCTTTTCTGAGTATATTGTATGTATCTGTATATTACATCAGTTGTCCAGTCTGTCTCATGCGTCAGTACCCTGTCTCATGCGTAGTCATACATACCTATATGTATAGCCATGTAATGAATAGGGGACTAGTAGCTGTGCTTAGCTGGAACTAAAACGCGCTGTCTGAATTGCCCTGAGATATTACTATTATTATTATTATTGAGAATATGTCATTTCTGATAGAATTTTGGAAGTTTTCTATTTTATTAAATTTTCAATATCCATGTCGTTCTACGCTGTCGTTTATTACCTTTATATATACTTGAAATACAGGCTGGATATCATGTTATCAAACACAAGATTTAGAATATGGAAAAAAATATATATCTATATGCTGTGTAAGTACATTTTTGTGTTTTTTTTGCATTGAACGAATACGCTTAACGAATATATACTTTCGAATAAGTATTGGAAAATTTAAAAAGGTATTTATTCTCAGTACAAACTATAATACAAAACAGTCATTTATGTCGACAATTTTCACTGTTTAGTTCATGAAACACAAGTTATATTCTATGCACGTCCTTGATTAACAAATGATTATTATTTTCCTATTTAAGAAAAACTTCAAAGCATTATTTACGAATATGAGTTTTATTAGGTCCCTATGCCATTTATTGATTTTATGAATATATCTACCCTAACTTTTAATGGGTATACTCTATTTTGTTTCTAGATTAGATCGTCGCTGGTCATCATCACAACACATGGAGCAGCATGAGCTTCTATCAGAGATATATTTTTCACGTGATTGAGATGAAGATGATTGGTCTGTGAAATGAAAATAGGAACATATTGAGTAACAAATTATAATCGATTATAATTTCATTTAGCAATGAAATATAAGTCTCTGTAAAATCTTTTAGAAAATTCTGAATTTAAAACAATTGTAATATTTTCTCATTTGATACAATTACAAGACTAGGTACCTATAATTATTTTGTACTAACAAAGTCAAGATCTAGATCGAAGGTGTTTTATTTGGAAGATTGGGGATTTTACCAGGAAAAGAAACATACCTACCATCTCATAATAACCGCTCGACCACCGAGGTCACACTCGGCGGTCTAGCAGTTTAGCATGTCGCTTTACTTCCAAGGATCGTGAGTTCGATTTCTCGCACAATGGAAACCTTTGCTTTTGGGACTAGATGACTTTGTGTTGTCATGAATAAAGAAAAATATTATTGTTAACTGTTTGTGTGTATAGATAAAAATAACGACGAACTATAAAAACATTTTGAATTTGCTTCATTGTACATAAATATTTAACAGATTTATTTAGAAATAAAAAACAAGAATATTTCTGAACTTGTATAGATTGGACGACACTTACTTGGGTGTGTACAAGTCGGCAAACTAGGAACGGTTAATCTAAAAAAAAAGTTAAGGCGAAACTTTCATGATAAATTCATAAGCAATTTCTACGAAAACACGTCTCATGTTCCATCTCTTTCAAATTTCATATGTGATCTGTCCCTTTAGGAGCGCCGCATTATTGATATATTATCTTAGTAAATAAATAAGTATTTCCGTGGCAGATTTCCTTTCAAGTATTTTTTGTCTTGTTATTGAAATATTGGAAATCTTATCAAAACAAAAAATGAGAATACTATGGTATATTCTATAAGAATGTCTCAGCCCATGGGGCTGTTATATTGGGTGAGCTTAAAAATATAAAGCGCACATTGTAATTCAGGTCAATACATAGTTACATATAGAATAGACTGTAAAAGATTGTCTACGTGGGAATCTCCATCTCACCTATTTCAGCCGTTAAGCAGCTTTCTTTGGAGGCAGTGAAAATAAAGAACAAAAGGTCACATATTAGTCCGCTGGAATGATAACGCATCAGTGGTATCACGATCGTCACATGATAATGTGATGTCCGTAGTGCTGATTGTATATAGTCCACGATTACTGCTGCATCAGGAGAGACATCAGCATGTTTGGTATTCAATTTACATAAAACAAACTGCAAGAAATTTGCGATATATCTCCAATTATTTTAACATATGAAATTGTTACACAAATATAATTTAATACCACATTTAAGAGTTCTTAAGTATAATTTTATGTAATTTGTAGGTACTAAAAACTGTAAATATGGCAACGGATTAGATATTTCTAAAAGCATTTCAATTTCATAAAGATGACGTAAGTATCTGCGGTCTATTGAAAAAGGAAACTCACCAAAATGTGCCTGGGAGATAATAAACAGACTAATATTCCTTTCTTATATATCGTCTGTGATGTCTGTAGTAGGTATAAACAGTACATAGGATATAAGTACATTATCTAAAAGTTATTGACCATGATTGGGATTGGTTATTAATATAGATTAACTTTACCTTATAGAAGAACGGTTATTACATGTTAAAGATCTCTTATTGGGCATACAGCTCTGAAAAAAAAACAAGTACCTGAAGTGACATCTTTCGTTACCTTTATAGTAAGTTCTAATAGAACAGAGTATATATATGTACTTACTTTAGAACAATTTGAGAACCCAATATTTTTAAGTACTTTTTCATCATAACTTGCAACACTTGGCATAGTGTTTGTATTTGTAGATGGCATTGAGGTTTTCTTGTATACATCTTTGTAACTGCGTACATCGATATTGCTCTTCGATAGGTTTCTAGAATTCCCATATTGTAGGTTATTGCTTGGTGTGTTAGTATTACAGCTAAGGGACAGACCAGAATCTTGCAATATTACGTTTGGTGTATTGCCTGGAATTAAATATCATATTTGGGTATGTTTGTCTCGTATATAGGATACATTTCATATGTTGTCATATTTTGAATAATAGTCTGAGGGAGAGAGACAAAGGGCGTGACCACAGCTACTAAAATGAAACTTGTTATTTGTTGCATTGTACAAAATAAGAATATATACTAATTTGTAATCACTGTATACTAACTTTGTTTGTTTATTGTATAGTATATAGTTATTATTCAAAATACTAAATATAATAATAAATAGAAATATTGAAAATTCGAACCTAAACTATATATGATTCTGACGGCAGTCAAATATTAACTATTTTCCGTAGTTTTAAATATAATACCCGCGACTTCGTCTGCGTAAAATAGTGATCTTGACCAAATAATGAAATAATATTTAGTAGTCTAACCAAATAAAATCCAAATAAAAAGGTTTCATCGTTCTAGGTTAAAAAATGACGATACGATAAAATCTCTTATCCTTTCAACCCTTCTTCTATATTTATGTATATTTAATAAACAGTACAAAAAATAAGTTTCAAGCTTCTAGCTTTAAATATGACGATATTTCTATACAATCTTGCATCTCCCCTTTCAACCCCTTAGAATCCTTCTTTCGCATTAAATATGTCCTTTCTCGGGGTCTTGACTATCCGTATGCCAATTTCATTTAAATCAGTTTAGTAGTTTTGGCGTGAAAGAGAAGACAGACAGACTGAGGTACTTTGGCATTTATAATATTAGTAAGAACATGTGTATTGTGCATGTATAATATCCGAAAACAAAAAACTGATAACTATTATACTTACATTTTAGAATGACTTACCTGTACCATTTGATGTTATAAGTAACCGTTCAGTAATAGCCTTCAACACATACATCAGCATAACAACTAAAGTGCCAATAGCTATGGATATGACAATCAGAGATTTTTTTATAAAATCTTGAAAGCAGTCTACGAGGTCATCCATGTAGCATTCTAGACTGTCGACTAGCGCCGAATTGGTACACATTTGTATTTTATTTAAAAAGTATAATAGATATACCTGCAATTAATAATTATAATAAAATATCTTTACATAGTAGAAAACAAGAAAACCGACGCTGTCTATTCGCTTATAACTTTCTAATTAAACTACGGATTTTAATGCAGTATTTAGCAATAGATAGAGTGATTCAAGAGAAAGATTTATATGTATAATACTTGTGTGTTACAGTATAGAAAAAGCCGAGAAATTCAAAGATTTATAATGCATCCATTAGATGCCGGTATGGGCCGCTAGTAAGTAATAAATACATAACTGTCATGACTGTCCCAGGTAGGCTTTTAAAGGATGATAATAGAAAGTTATCCAACTGCGCTAATGGTATACATTGGCGGAGCACCAATAAATGTTGAAACTATAAAAATGAAATCAGGTCAGTTAGCCTATTGTGGAATTGACCACGTATTAATCACGACGATTTCCAGAGTGGACTTCATGGAGGTCCTAGCTAATACAGTACATTGCTAGCCACCCAGTTTTAATATTAGTTAATATAAAACCATAAATATATATTTTTTTATAAATAATACCTATATAAATATATAATCTTGACTGATATCCTAGATAGGTATGGTATGGTATGATATGGTAAAATTAACGTATCTGGGAAATGAGCCTTGTTGGTTAATAGTGTTTCCATTACTGAAAAGTGAGTCAGAGAGAGAGAAATATATTTTTTTTATCGCCCAGATTTGATTTCGCTATCTTTTTTGATGGAAATTTGGGTACTAATCCTAGGCCACTTAATAAATATACGATGATCATGACACTTTGTAAACAGTCATCTGCGTGTATGCCTCATATATATTTTAGGTGACAATCTTCACAATTTGTAAATTACGCTTAGGTTGTATTATGAGAAAAGTCAGTGAAATTACAATATAACAGGCATAAAATTTTAGACCTACGGAACACATGATAACACATGAACGCTATTATCTTAACGTAGGCCTTAACATATTAACGTAGTATGTGTAGTAATACCTATTCAAACTCAAAATTAGGAACCATTGTTCATATGAATTACTATTTTTTTCTTTTGGATGATAATGGAATAATGAACTAGCTTGCACCAACGGTCTAAGTTGGCGAGAGCACTAGTGGAGGATGATAATGGCAAATTGCAATTTTCTACGGTGAGTTTTAGGGACAACCACCTGGAGGTCAACCTGACATGGTACATAATTAGCAATTTTATTATTTTGGTTATTAGTCCACATTACTAACAAACACCATCCCCCCTAAGTACAAATTGTTATATTCATATAACCAATATCACGCAAGTAGTTTATCGTTGATTACAATAATCTGTCTAATATCGATACCAAGAGTCACTATTTCGGATATGGTTCCAGAATTAATATTACCATAATTGTTCAGGCCGTCATTAAAATGCCTATTGAATAACAATTCACGCTTATCTCCCTGGAATTGCTTCTAGTCTATAGTACCTACTGCTGGATGCAGATACCGGTAAATGACCATAACATTTGATTATAGATTTTAAGGCTTGCATAATAGGCATGGGTATATGGCCTGGTAAATTCACCACAATGGGTTAATTGGTTGACCAAAAATCATTTTCTACTGATGCTGGCTGGCTGGATCTTAATGTTAGCGCAGGCAGGTGTATTATTACATACAAAACCTTTATTATCTAGGAATTTGATTGTTTGTCGATTTATAAATGTATTTTGACTGGAATACTATAAGTAATAGTAGGAAGGTATAAATTCGCCTGCAGCACTCACTTTGCAAGTAGTGTTTAAAGGGTGGTAGTGATATAGTATTGGGCATTAAATTTATAGAGTACGGATATATGTGGACTAGACATGACGAATATCATTTGTAAAGTTGATTGTGTTGTAATATAGACTGTATGCTATAGGACACAGTTACAAATTTTCATTGTTTCGTCTATCCCCGTTTTCTCATTTCATAATTTGTTTTAAGTTCTCCTTATTTAATATATTAGAAAAATCTGATATAGTCTAACTTGACATTTATATAGGTTATATGATATGTTGTTTTTTATTTGTTAATCGGGTTTATATTACAAGTAAAAGATACCAAAGACATACCAGGCAATTCTTTTTACATTTTTGAAATATTGCGAATATTTCCTATACGCGAAAACGGGGCGCATAGTATGCAAAATTTTTGGTACTTTAGGTGTGAAATCAGACGCACATAATATAACTATACGTAATATCTGTCACTGTCATAATGATTAATGTCGTGATTTTTTTTATTTCACAAATAAATTCTTTTAAACTAGTGAACTTATACATAGACAAAGAGTAACTTTTTATATTATCAATAATGAGAATTGCGAAAGTCTACCAATTGAAACAAGTACATAAGATAAATTAAATAATTTAGGCTATGCTAAATATCTGAAACATATATGAATAATCTTTTACAATAAATACGAAAAATTATACCCATAATATAAATGAAGTCTATATGACATGGCTATATGCAAAATATTTCTATACGGAATAGTAAAAAATCTGTAGACATATCAAAGTGGTTATAACTATAATAAATTAGTGCAGTGCTAATTAGTGAGTACAGTTTTGTTGGTGAAAACTCGACCTTACGTCCTTATGTTTACTTAGTATTCCATAAACATTCTATATTGATTGTATCGAATATGCTTGTCTCGATGTTACCTACATCAGAAATGCTCAGAAAAGCTGAAGCCCTAAGAATTTCCAATAATATTGCCGCTCAAAAGTAACCATAGTAACGAACAGAAATATATTCTCTTCGAGTATCAATCTCCAATACGCTTGATTCTTCACTCTACCGAGATAAAACAGTTCTAGACAGACACCAATCACGTGTAAATTATCTGTCTATTCGTATACCATCCATTCAGAGCTAACTTTTATAGTTCTGTATTTGTATATTTTTATAGAATGATATACAAGTTGGCAACCCACCTGATGGTAATTGGTAACCTATATATATAACACGTGAACTGCACCATAGACATTTCCACCGATCGATTGCCCGTCTAATTCAAATTTACGACGACTTGAGCTGAGGTCCTAATCTCTAGCGATGTCCTTAGACTACAGTGATATCTATCTGTCAGGCAAGAGTTAGTCTTCAGCCGCTCCATATGTACTTCTGCGGATTTGTAGTGTCATCTGCACTCGTCGTCGGTCGTTGTCGTATCCCGTAAAGCAGTAAAGGCTTTAGGCTTTAGTAGCTGCGGCCATCAGCATTCGAGTAGTCCGAGAAAAAATCAATGGACAAGTTTTTATGTGATGATGCGTTGAATATCATTGCCTTATCCTTTACGCGAAACACAGCTTAGCAAGCTGTTTCATGGAGAGAGAGGTTAGTTACTTCTCTTTTGTTGTCTCTAAGGCTGATTTTTTACTATATGTCTATATACTATACTATACTATACGTCCATTATATTAAAATCGAAAGCATATTGGTCTGTTTGTCACTATTTCTTGATTGATCTCAATGAAAAAATGGTGTGAAAATAGATTGTATAACGAGGACGAATGTAGGCAATCTTAATCAATTATTTTAAATAAACCAGACGAAATCGAGGCAGTGAACTAGTTATAAAAAAATTTGTGCTTATTCAAGAAAACTATCGAAGTTGGCACAGGCATGGCAGATTTTGTATAATCCGTAATAAACGGGCTATATTTCGCGGTCTAGGCCCGTCATCTCGTGGGGTATCGTATGATGGATCGCTGGTCCGTTCACTTTGATTTATTTTATTATTACAAAGAAAATGTAGATATGTAGATCTGTTTTTGTCATAAAGTTTTCTCAGCTTAAGAATAACGTTTCATAATTTATTATTTCTGCCAAGTAATTTCATATGACTTCTCTTGCATAGGTACCTAAATTTATTTCCAACGTGATTTTTAAGTCTATAGGAACATATAAGAAATTTGACATCGTTAATTTTAAAAATTAATCCGGGACACGGCAGTAGGCTCACCCTTTCCACGCTTCATCTGACTTGTATTATAGATGCAGAAGTTTGTGAGAGTGGCTGGGCGGAGGGATGGTTTGTTACTCTTTCACGCAAAAAGTACTGAACGGATTCTAATAAACTTTTACAATAAAAGCTAGTACTAATATATAAATTACTAGCTTCTTTCGGTAAGTTACTATTGTTCTCAATAACTAACGCCATACACGTTGGTTTTCCAAAAATTTGTTTAGGTACATCTTTTTATAAGTACTTTAGCTTATGTAAGTACCTACATATAATTTATATTTCTAGGCCCATATGCATGTCATATTATGACGTGATGATTGTGGAGCTATTCATGCATCAATGTAGGAGACTGACGGTTACAACCTTTTTTCCATTCCAATTTTGTAGCAAATAGGAGTTACTGTATATACATAATAATATTTGAATTATATAGAATAACTAGCTGTCCCACGACTTCGTCCGCGTGGAAATTTACTTTATTCTAAAATAAAAGTAGCCTAAGTTACTTCTTATTACATCAGCTACCTACAAAAAAAGTTCCGGCAAAATCGGGCCAGCCATTTCAGAGATTAGCCGGAATAAACAGACAGACAAAAATGAAAATGTTATTTTTGTGTATGTACCGTATTTATATTCATAGGCATGTAGTAAAAACGGTTATTTCAATATTACAAACAAACACTCCTGAGTCGTCTGTGTCACGGGTCATCAAGTCCCCTCACTTCACCCTTCGGATACCTAGTACAGGCACTGTTCTTGACGAATCTGTATTTTAGCATGGAATTTTACATGCCTCAAGCATGTCAAATTCCTCATGTCAAAGGCTCTGTTTCACTTTATATCATGTGTATGTTTTTGTGGAGAAAAATAAATATAATATTATATTACTGTTCGAATGTTTCAGAACTGTTCAATTCGTGTCCTATGTATTTATATTTTATTTGATTTATTGCAATTCGGGATAAGGGCTCGAACATTATTAAAAGGCAAAGACGTGAAACATTTGGCGGGTGACATATTGGCGACCTTATTATTTATAGGGTGCGACTGACCGTAGTCAGTGATTGATGAGCACTGAAGCGGTTTTGTAGGAGACAGAGAGATGGATGTGAGGTTGTGATTTAGCAAGGAATAAAGAGGAAATTTTATAGAACATATAACATAAGTGAGCTTAGATCATTTATTTGGATGTGTTAAAGTCAAACATGAGATTGTTGTAATCAATTTAAGAAAATATAGGTTTTCCATAAGTGGTAGTTATCCGCGACTTCGTTAGTATCTGAGAAATGGTCATTCACCATATAATAGTCTTTATCTCCTTTTTCAAGTTTCATCCTTTTTTTTTTTTTTGTTTTTTTTTTATTCTTACATTTCTTTAGGGACTTTTATCATAATATGATAATGCCAGTCCCATCGTATCTTATTACTAACTAATCTTATCTTCTACTGCACAATGAAAATAAAAATTTTGCTGGCGATGATACAGGATCAGATAGTATACCGTGGTACATACCAACATCAAGCCGATTCAGTACTAGTCGGAAACAAATGACGAGGAATCCGACATTCCGTTAAAAGATTTAAATATTTTATCCAATTTTTCAAATCATGTTGAATTTCCATAGGAAGCGGTTTATCCCATTCCAAACCTATTTTCCAACATTTTTATATATATTTTATATAGTGCATGGATAATAAAGCCTATAGGGTCGCAAATGCTCTGAGCGATAGATAATAAAGTTCTTTTCGTCATAATATTATTCTCATTCATAGAAGGAACCTTGCAAAATAGTTCATCGCTCCGTGGGTCCCAGTTGAGTCCTAAAACAGACGTCACTGAAATAGTATCATCTGTTATTACTGGTCCCGTTACCCAGCATCTTAGTTCAAATTTACCCTATAATTTCCTTTGCCTCATTTATAAATTTATTCATACTTTCTTCATCTTCCACACTTACTATACAATTATCACAATAAAAGTTAGATTTAAGTTTATTAGCAGTATCTGACTCATATTTTTCTAAATGATGATTAATTGTAGCCATTAATAAAAAAGGACTTGTAGTTACGCCGAATACAACCCTTCTATGGCGATAAGTGACTACAGTCTTCTTTTCCTGATGTATATCACGCCACCATAAAAACTTCAAAAAATTGCGATCTTCTTTATTAATTGATATTTGGAGAAAGGCCTTTTTAATATAAGAGCTACTATTCCTATAGAACCATGCCTAAATTTGATAAGCAACGATGGAATTAATTCAATATAATTAGAACCTTTTTCTAAACACTCATTCAATGACAAACTTTCTTTATTAATACATGCAGAAGCATCGAACACGGGCCGAATTTTTGTAGTGAGACTAGACTCGCGAACTACTGCATAGTGAGCAAGATAGTGTCCTGAGTTATGATCTGGTTCATAACGACTTCTATAATAGATGAATCTAACCACTCCTTAAACTGTTCATTATACTCTTTCATAATACCTAAACGAGACAAACGTATAGTGGTAGATTTTAATCGTTTTAGAGCTAGGTCGTAATTTGTGGGTAAATTTATAGATATATCCTTCCAGGGCAATTCTTTACAGCTCATACCTATCTTCCTCATTAATGGATATCGTATCTTTAAAGAATTGTAATACTTCTTTTTCTCTCTCTGTCTGTTTTCTAACTTCCGGTTCATCTTTAATACCTATAGTTTCTAAACTAACACGCAGTTTCATAGATCCTCTAAGTTAAATGTACAAGATAAACTAACAAGACTTTCTTCAGCAACATGAAACATATTAGATATTGGGCCTTGTATTGTCCAACCTAGCTTAGTTTCCATAGCAACAAGATTACCATCTATTTATCATACGCCCAGTAAACAAACTACCTAAAATATCGGCTCCTATCAAAATGCTCATATATATATCATCAACTATATCATTTAATACAACACCCTGTCTTTTTAATTTAGACAACAAAATAGGTTGTTTTAATTTAGGTAAATCATTGCAAATATTCATTTTCTCTATATAAGTAAGTTTTATCCTTGTAACAAAACATAACCTATTCACCGAGTTCCAGTTACAAAATGTTGTTGTATCATCATTACATAGTATAAAACAAAGTCGCTGTCGCTGTCTGACCATCCCTATATATGCTTAAATCTTTAAAACTACGCAACGCATTTTGAAGCGGTTTTAATACATAGAGTGATTTTAGAAGAAAATTTATATATATTTATATATAATACATATACACCCCGTGAGAAGCCGGGGCAATAGCTAGTAACAAACATAAAATTAATACAGTTAAGTATAAATAAATAATTAACAGACAGATTTAATTATTTCCACATACACATATATTTTTTGTTGTAGTACAAATAAAAATATACGTATGCAAATAATATCTATAAAATACACAAATTTCTTCGTACTGTCGCACACTGCAAATACCTACTATAAAATAGGGTAAATACCGAATTTCCCTTTCATGCATAAACAAATCCGAATAAGATTACCTCTGTACCGAATGTGAACACTGGTCTGCGTTTCTATAATATATTTAAGAGATTTTCTTTCGACATATTTATCTATAGAAGATATATTTGACCTACTGCCCTACAGTATATAGGTGGACAGCGTTCTGGTGGATATTCAGAGGATATATAGTAGTAAATACAATTTATTACTGATTTCATGACAGTCGCACTTAAGACATAACTGTTACTTAGAAACAAGAACACAAATTTTAAATGTAATAATAATAATATCAGGACAATTCACACAGCGCTATCTATTCCCAAGTTAAGCTAGCTAAAGTTTGTGTTATGGGTACTAGATAGCTGATACAAATACATATTTTTTTCCGTAAATACACAATATACATACATAATCCACAACGAATGTGCCTGATAGGATCACATGATAATATGATCCGGAGTAATGATCTTGTATGCATAATTGTATATATATACTAAGTAACAATAAATGAATTGGTTTTTAGCGTAGCGGCCTAGTCTAAGATGACATGTTTTCGGATGCTACAATTTTATTGTCTTTTCTGAGTAACGAAACATATCTCCCAAAGCAAGTTGTTTGGCGGCTGAAATATTTTTATTTTATTTATTGAAACTTTAATGCACATATTGAAAAATAAATGTGCATATGGCGCACTTAATACCATAAGGCATTTTCGCACAGTCGACCATAGAGCAAATAAAGATAAGTGAGCGGTGTATTTAAGTAAATAACATGAAATAAAAATAATAATAGGAAGTAGGTACAAATAATATAACAAATTATGAGAGACAAAAGTACCGCCGCCAGTACAAGGTCATCTTTGTACAATTTCTATATAGGTACAGCATAGTCCACATTATTTTTATTATCTATTTATAAAATTATACTGTTTATTGTTAATATAAATTGTACTATAATTGCTGATTTCAAGGCTTCAGATTATTATTTTAATTATATATTTAAATTATGAGATATAATGGAACTACATTCCATAGATCCTGTATAAAAATGTATTTTAATACACAGCACTAAATAATTATGGCTATATACGAGTAAGTATAATACGAAATAATTTTCTACTGATTGCCGAAATGAATGTAAAAAAACATTTGAATGCACATGACAGAGGAGGTTGCCGCAATGGCAGATTAATTTTTGATTTGTTATCGACATTTCCATCACGTTAGACTCAGTCAGTCAGTATAAATTGACACAAAGTTTCTTTGATGTCGGTCAGTTTTGGACTTACTATCTTCTAGATGGAATAATGAAAATTTAACATTTTCAATCAGTCAAGGGAACAATCAATATTAAATCTTATATAATTGTTCCAACGTGTTTGTACGTTAAATAAGGTAATAGTGTATGTTAAATTATGTGACAGACAGTCGCAATTGTGCCGTAAGGTCAAGTAGGTCTACGTAAATGTTTTTGTCACCCATATAACAATTTATGTAAATACAACATGTATTTTTTAGATGCATTTGGAAAAAACACGCAGTTTCAATGTATGTTATCGAAATTGAAACATTGATATGTAAAATAATATTAGTACTTTATCTTTATAGCTTAGTAAATATTTATTAATAGATATTAGGTAACAGTATTGATACTTTTTGTAAGTATATGGCTATATACTTAAAAATATGTCTTTTGTTACGTAACTGAAATGTTAAGCAATCTGCCACCCGATGGACAGCAGTAAACGCCATCTATAGACATCAGTATCACGACAGACATCACAAAATAAATTATTATACTCGTATGTTACCATTTTTGAACAATAATGTATACACCTACATATTTATGTATGTTATTCTTCTTTTGCCTGACCTAAGTCCCATTTATTTAGAGTTGGCCCGTCTGCTGGGCTGGGTACTCATGTCAAGTACTGTTCTTGTCATGTGGTCTAATGGTCGCCGCATGACGTGATCGTGCCACCTTAGGCGGTACCAAAACCATCTCCAGTATAGGTAGCTACATTAAATTATTAATATTTATGTGTGTTTGTTTATTTATCTGTAATTTTACATCGTTATGTTGCCTGTCCTTAAGTACTAGGCTATAAAAAATATATGTTCTTATTGGAATGGTAGTTTGGCTTCATTTATAATTTCGAGGTACAACCCTAAAAATTTACATTCGCGTATTTCACTTTAATTTCACGCTTCACGCATTCGTTTAGAAGAAAAATTTTATACATACAAAAACCTAACATACGTAGGTCGTTAGCCAAATAATAAAAAAATCATAGGTCGATGTACGATTCACATTAAATTAACAGTTGTAATGTGCAATGTACTGATTATATTATTAAATCGTATCATGATTTTATGGTTTGTGCACATCCAATGTTGTTGTTCGAATTTAGGCCGGTTAATTGTTGCATTAGGAAATAATTTAAATAAATGTCACTCAATTGTAAACCTATTTAAACAGTACTAAGCTTCAATGTACGAATTAATGATTCAGTAGAACGCTAATAGTGTTGAGATTCGACGTGCAATATAATTAACCAAAAGTAACTATTTATAATTGTAATACGATGATGGAATACGTAAATTTGTCACTATAAGCTAACTGACCTAACTCATTCTGTCATCCTCCATTAGTAAAAAACGGGTGGTTTTAGAAATAGATTTTTATTACAATTAATATATGATTCTTTATGGTTTAAAATCACTGCCTAACAATTTGATAACCCGCTTAAAGGAAGGTATGTCTGTTCACAGATATGTTTATGTAACTTGACTTCTTACATTATACCTGTGTATTGTATTGCTCATAATATTCCTTTTATATATATGTATTATCGCTTTGAGGATCCAAGTACTGCGATAAGAACCGGAAGATACGTCGTTACTATTCAAGGATATGTGATTAGAATTAACGGCCCTTTTGGTTACGTTTCCTGGAAACCAACTTTTGGAAAACAACTCTTTGTAGAACTATCATGTTAGGTTCCTCATGACTAGTCATAGGCTAAAACAATATCTAACAGCTACTTTACGCAAATGGATGAAAAGGGAGAGGATGACCGGGGAAAAAGGATGAACTGTATGAAAGATGATATGTATAAAAGAAGAGAATGGCTCGCTCAAATATGATAGGGATCGGTGAATGAGGATGAAATACTGAAGTACACCCCACATATTAGGACAAAGACAAGCCTATGATGATAACTTTATCATCATCATCTAATTAAAATACCCATTCCAAAATAATATTGAGTTTACGTCTTTAAAAGGCAAAGCGTACAAAACAATCGTTATTGATATAAATGTTCTACAATATTTTCAGAACTAAACGAACGAACTCGTTAGAGTGCGTCGCAGTCGACTGATTGGTTATAGATAATATTATATTTCAAAGAAAACAATAACAACAACTTCAATTGTAATATAGTTAAACACTAAAAGTATTAAAATAAATTTAAAGTAAAAACTAAATAATCTATTTGGAACATAAAATTGTCCAGTCAGACTAGATTTTACAACCTTAAATTAAAACGATTGGTTCAATATATATTCACAGTATTCTTAAAAAACAATATTAATATGTACATAAACAGTATTTTAAGAGCATAAATCTGGTGAATCCCACCATTTTCTGAAGTTTTGTAAAACTGATTTTTTGTGTAACATTTCTTCGTTGTTCAGTAATGAACAAAAACCACAATAATCATCGGTATCTATGCTCTCCGCCCTTTTGTGATACGAATAATACTTTTTCCATCTGAAGTACTCGGCATATTCTTCGGGATTGTTAATTAATTCGTTCATCTTTGCTGCCAACTTCTCCACGCCTAGTTCTCTTGCGTTCAAATAAATGCCCTCTGGCATGAACCTGCAATAGACAAAGAGCTCAAACTTTCGTATATACATTGAAAAGGACCTGTGAAATAAATTAACCACGTTGTAATTAATTATCTTTTCAATTAATAGTGGGAAACACGAACAGAGTTTTGTGGCTCTTTTATAGGTAAAGATTTCAATTTAGGTTCATACGTTCAATCTTGGTAGATCTTAGGTATTTTTTTTACAAAGCAATAACATATATTTAATCCATTATTTGTTATTTTATATGTATAAGTACATACATGCACTGCTTAATATTACTGTAAATGATTAAATGGCGATGTATTATATGTTTAAAGTTTTTTTGATTGTTTTATTTATTTTAATATATTGTTATAATGTGTTAAAATAATAAATACTTTTAAACAAGAATCATTAACACTGTCAAATGTTTTAATAACTGTGTGTTCTAATAAATATGGCCAATAATATATACAGTACAACTAACATTAGACAAGGATATTTAAGGAAACTGTCAACAATAATAAATCCATAATATAAATTTACTTATTTTTATTAATTTCTATAGCCATATTTGTAACTATAAAATACAACAAATACATATTACGTTACGTTTATCAATTGTAAGATATAATTTATTACATATAATATATTCTTTATTTTACGAGTAGTTATGTATATATAACTACTCTTTTATTGAAGGTTCCACTATAGTACCCATAAGGATATTTGCTTACAAATATGATATTGGAAGTGCTATTCCACTGCTAGGAAGGAGCTGATTCCGCTATGTGGTTGTGATATATTCATGTTTGCAGGTACGTACTACTGCGAGATATTATATTAGATGAAATTATTGAAATTGTGCAGTAAGTGAATTAGTAAATACCAACGTTAAAGTGTAATTAAAGAATTATTCGTTATGTAAGTAAAGTTCATGACATAAAAATTACCTCGTATAATTAGCACCACCATAAACTATAGGTATTGCATTGCTTTGTAAGCCTCGCAGTAGCTTTTCTGTAACGTAATCTTCGGAAAAAGAATTTTCAAACGATAAATAGAAATAATAACTTTCTTTAACGATATCATCACATATTTCTTCATTATCACGTGAACATTTCATTGTTCCACAATTTCCATACACGTCAATGGTCAAGTTATATTTTGATAATTCTCCTTTAAGGTCTTCCACATATTTCTCACGTCTACTTTTTGAATAGCAATTTGACACAAACCAAGCAGCCGTTTTCGTTTTAGTTTTAAGTTGAGTCTTAATTTCTTCGCTCACAGGATCCATGTCTTCAAATTTTATCCAATGCATAATTTTATTTGGACCTATAATGTTATTATCTGCATCCCTAACTATAATGTAGCCCCAACGAGCCTCAGAGTCAAGTCTAAATGTCCAGGTCCAATTAAAATATCCATCAAATTTATTGGAACATACTGGATAGTAATGAGACGACTCAATATTAGTAAAAACAAATTTTTGCTCAGGTGATCTCTCATGTGGTAAATTATTGAGAGGCGTACGCACAACCTCAGGACCCGCGAATGCGATTACATCAAATTTTTTTACATCACCAAGGTAGGTTCTATTAGCAGTAACTATGCAATTTGTATATGAACATTTTCTATCAATGAATCCTTGTTGACCGATCCCCATGTATACGAATGGTACATTTGTGGGTGTTGTCCATTGCAGAATATATTTCATGTTACGCTCCTCTATTTTTGTAGTTTTCTCTGTAGCATTTTGTACTTCTGTGTTCTCTTCTATTTCGATTGACACATTTTCATTATAATTTTCACTGTTTTCACTAACGATATCACTAATTTCCCTTAGTCTTTGAATAATAATATTTCCGTACCCATTTCTGGGTACATCACTCACAGCTGTATAAAAAAGTAATAAAACAGATATTAGTAGAACTAATATAAATAATTTAAATGTGAAACTTTTTCTCATTTTTAGCGGTAAGAAGAAATACGTTACAGCACAAATTGCGCGTGCGTTGCGCGTGCTTGTCGTACATCACTGAAGTAGATAACCATCATACACATGAAAGTTTATTTCTATATCTTGTTATCGTCTAGTTGTACGAATTATGATAAGAATCATACTTTTAAAATCCTATTGGATTATTCACACTACGTCGCATCTATGTTATTACTATTAGAAAAGTGACAGAATAATAATAACTATTAACGGCAACAGTAAACAGTAACGCTTTAACTTCTAGGCCATCCATGGATTCACCGTAGATGATAGGTTCATCATTAATATAAATTATGAATAAAGTACAAAGTATAATATTTCAGTTTTGGTTGTTTTATTTACGGACTTGTGCGAGAACATCATTTTTTTATGAAATTATCTGATTATTTTATTTTTAGATCACGATTTTAATATTAATAAATGCAAAAAATAGCATACATATGTGTAGGTAATCCCAGCAAGATTGTTCGTAAAATATGAATATCGTTTAATTGAAAACAGACCCTGAAATTTGGTATGTTAGAATTCGTGTATATTAATTTATTACATACATTCGTAAAAATTGTATTAATACGTATACCTATATCTAATGATATTTTTTTATGATTATATACAGTAATGTCTATTATTTACTGATAGATACATAGCTAGATAAAATATTGGATACCAATATGACAATATAATATTAACGACGAATACAAGTGATTAGATCCAATTCAATGCAGGTAGTTATTTTATTTGTACTTACAGATATAATATTATCAATTATATGACTACGAATATAAACATTAATAGAAAATATTATGCTAAGTCATATTACTAGCCAATTATAGTTCTGACAAATATTATTAATTGATTTGATTTCGAAAATGGATATATTAGCACGATATCTTAGTCCTCCAGAATGACAACGATTGAGTGGTGGTAAGGACGTCATATGACGTGAGGTTTGTGATGTTTATGTATATAGGCGAGACTTACCTTTCTTTCCATTCTGTGGCCCGGCAGTTTGTTTATTATTTCATTTATATAAAAAAATCATAACACATGTGGAAACTTGACTACCGTTACGACCTTCTCTAATGGCGATCAAATCTTCGGTCTTGGTCGCCGAAGAGTCAACACTAGGATTCCAAGCTATACCCGAACTCTATTCTACTCCTGATAATGCCTCGTTCAGAGGTGAAACACGTGTTGCAATATGGGTGTAGACTTAAATCGCCATTAGAGAAGGTCGTAATGGTAGTCAAGTTTCCACACCAAATATTTGTGGTCTCACACATGCTAATTGTAGCGGAATTAAGCAAAATAGTATAAATCTAGCAAATAGTGAAATGGACTTCCGTAAAATAACACCTAATTCGATTAAATATAAACAAGTTATAAAGCAATAAAATTATATTTCCTTGTGTAGTGAATGAAACTCAATTCAATGAAATTCTAGATATACCATAAGTTAAAACTTGCGTAATTATCTAGTTCTATATTTCCTTTAGAATTTAATCCTTTTGTCGGCAACCCCGGCTCATCTGTGTCAGATGGCCACACAAACGTGACCCTGACCACAATAAAGTAGCCGATTATCAGAGAAAGTGTTCTCCTCTATCGTTCCCGTAACCTGTGTTTCCATTATTAAATGCAACAAGTCACGGGAACAATTTTCTAAATTCACGGGAATTTCTACAAGATTTCCTTTCTTGTTTTACATTATTGTACCACACTTGAGTTAGTTAATAAGCTACTTTTAACATTATTTCCTGATAAGATATTTTTCATTGGTTCGGTAATCGGCGGTTGTACCTTCTTAATACCGTCTACAACTTAAATTGTATTCCAAATAGATAAGATATACTAAAAAACACTTAAATTTAGAAAATTATCTTAAAGTTAAATAAAGAACAATATTAACAAGTAACGAAGGCTATATCATTTTCAATAAAAACAACAAATAATTTTTAACATAAATTTTAATTTTCTCGATCTACGAGTTTTAAATAACTATCTAAAGCTAGATAACTTAACTATTTAGACGCCAGATAATAGTGATCTAAATTGACCATCGTATCCTGTAATCTGTGAACACTCAATAGAATTTGATTAGTGAAATAATATTAACTTAACACGTACGTGGGGAAAAAATTGTATAGTTCAGATACCTATGGGAAATTATTACGTCGTTAGTAATACGTAATTTTTGTTTCTGTGCCCTTATTTATTGATGATATAAATTGTTATAAATAATATAAATAAATAATAAATAGGGATAGTTCAAATAAAATAAATAATAAATTATTATCGAAACACTAACAAACGGAATATGTCAAATTTGCGTAATTTTTGCTTGTGATAATTTTTGTCGACTTTTGCTTTTAAGTTTTTGCATCACGTATTAATATATTGTTACAAGTATTAAAAAAAATAGAGTATCTAATATCCCTACCAAAATTTATTGAGTAGTTTGGAAAAAGTAGGTGGAGGTGTATTTTTATAATTTCTTCTGATCCCGACGTATGAGTATGTAAGATAAGTACTAGGTACTCGTACCTAGCAGTAATATTAATATCCTTTTAGGATATTCTACAGTTATTATTTTAATTACATACGTAAAGTCACATCACGAACAGCTGATTCGATAACTGTTATCAGATATCGTTGTCATATTAAAGATTGCTATATGTAGTTACTATATTATAAATCAACAGACTACACGAATTTACGTGTATTTACAGATATAAAAAAATGCGAGGATATATTCCAATAAAAATAATTAAGTTAGTAGTATTTTTGATATTTTTTATACTTACATTAGTAGGAATCAATAATATAAGGAAAAACATGGATTTCTCGAAACAAATATTAGTAACTCATATGGATCTACAAAATGACAATATAATGAATAAAAGTTTAAGGAATTATTTTAATAATGAAATAAAAGATAAAGCAGATAATCAAGTAATTAATGAAGCATATAATGCAATAGATGAAGAAGTAGATTATAAAGCAGATGATGGAGCAGATACTAAAAATAATCATGAAGTAGATGACGAAACAAATGATGAAGCAGAAAATAAGGTAAATTATAATGTGGCAAATCAATTAGGAGATGAACCAGAGAATAAAACATATAACGAAGTAGTTGATGGAACAAATAATGAATCAGATATTAAAGTAGAGGACAAATCGGATGATAAAATACATGATAAAGAAGACAATGAAACAGATAATAAAGCAGATGATAAATCAGATGATGAAACGTATAATAAAGCAGATAATGAAGAATACGGAGCAGACAAAATGAAATATACATTACAACAATGGACGTCAGGCAAGACGTCGACATAAATCACGACCACATATTAATTTTAAAATGAAATACAGTTTTATGAAATTTTATTTTTATAACATGTTTATGCCAAATGGGATTTACTGCTATTAAATGCTAGATAATTAGATCCGGAGACATTACCAGCAAAAATGAACTATTTGATCCACAATCCAAATGAATATGCTGAATATTTTAGATGGAAGAAATGTTACTCGCATTATAGAACATTGGGGAGTATCGAAATGGATGACTACTGTGCATTTTGTGAATTATTAAACAATGAAGATATGATACAGAAATAATCAATTATACAAGATTTCAGGAAGTGGTAGAATTTACCGGATTACTTTTGATGAACATAACTAAGGTATACAGCAATATTATAATCTCATTGAACAGTTTTATATTCGATTTAAATTATTTATTTTACTATATTAGTTATTTTTACCCATAATAAATGTAACAATAATAAAAAATAAATAAAATTTGTTTTTATTATACTTATAATTGAAGTATAATAAAAACAAATTTTATTTGATATGATTGATTATGTTTTATGTGTATTTAATTTTATACAAATTAATTTTGTGACTATTTTCTGGAGTTTTATTGATTTCTATGGGACGATTAAGGTCGTAATTGTTTTCTATAAAATTATAGCGATTATATATGTTAGTTTCCAACTATAAATAAATAGTCGAAATCTGTTTATACTTTACACGATCTGAGTTTGCGGTCTACCGAAATGGCTTTCAAATGGTTTCGTCAGTTCACCATAAAATTGTTACGAAGTGGGGGAGTTTCATTGGGGTTAAGTAAGCATTTATATATAAAATAATTGAGGTGAAAAGTTGCAAAGACTTTGTTTACTTTCACGCATTTATTGAAAACTAGCTGTGCCCGCGGTTTCATCCGCTTTAAATTTCAATAAAAAGTATAGCCTATGTTTTATTCTGATGTATAAGTTATATTACAGTAAAGTTTCATCAAAATCCGTTCAGTGGTTTTTGCGTGAAGATCCTTCTGAAAAACGGTAGATTTGGACAACTATTTCTGCGCGGGTCAGATAGTTTTGTACAGTGTTTTATTTTGACTTTTTCTTCTCTTATTCTCAAGTATTCATTCTGTTCCTTAAACACAGATTTGACCGATATGTTAACTTCATAATAATCTTAAAAATCATAAAAATTAATTATTTTAATAATATAAACAACAAGATAAGTATATTATTATTATGTAATTAAATGATCGATAATTTATTACATATTATATATACATTATAACATTTTTTGTAATATCTTGTTTGACACTTAATGAACTGCCTTAAATAACAGAATGGCTGCGAAATCGTTAAAATTTATAATTACAGATATTTATATACAATATTAGAAGAGCACAAAACATATATAAAGCTCTCCATTACAAACGTAACTAAAATATTGTTCGCTATCAATCTGGTAACAATATTAAATGGATCAAGATTATGCAGATGAAATTTAATTTGTTATTTCTCTGCAGAATGTTTCTCAAAAGCTTACATACAATACTATTACATGTACAAATTTCTGATATTTATTTCATAGTAAATAATCTTGTTGGAATACATACAGACACATACTACATAAAAAAACAATTGAAATTTGTCAAATTATTGATATTGATAAAAATATACTATATACGGGTGATATTTTCGAAAAGGTTTTCTGTGGAAGAGTTTCATTGTATTAAATTACAAACTAAAATGTTTATACTGAGACTTAATGTTTTTTTCTCCGTTTTGTCTACATCTATATCCATAAATAAATAATTAGTAGGTACACATGTATATTTTAAAGAATACGTACCTATATATTTTTAATATATTTGATAGCGTGCACTACACCTAATATTTGTAATTATACACATAAAATAATATTCAATGTTGTATTACTGTGTAAACACATTAGTAATTTGTCGTAGTGCCTTTGATTCAAATGCATGTCTGAAACCTTACTATGAACCGAGAACTTACCCATGCGTATCTTGTTATATACCACAAGAGTCTATAGAGCGCCTCCAAGGCTCTCATATATTCATAACTGAGAGATGAATATTTACGAACCTGGTAGTATTCTAGTGAGTTGCAGCGACGTACCGTAGAAGTGTTTGAAAGCTGTGACAGAAATTCTAATTATATTGTACTGTGAAACAACGGATTCCATATTTAGAATAGGTGGTAAAGGCGTATGATTTCTCATGAGCAAATAACGTGAACAATGGGGTAAAATCACAAGCAAAGTTCGTACGAGTCTCTTTGAATAAATAATGTTTGTACTGGCGATGTAAACATTACGTTTGTTTCTGGTAAAATAATACGTATTACTACATAGCTGGTACTGTAAGAGTTATATATGATATATAAAAATGTATCACAATTCTTTTTAAATAAATACTAATTAATTAAAAAAAATGGTTAATAATACTAATTAGATTAGATAAATTGGAGTACTATACCTTAAGCACTAAATGTTATGGAATAATGTAGTTTCCATCATTAGCTCACTGATATGACATTCAAAAATAGATTCAAGAACACATGTTAATCTCATATTAATTGTTATTATAGCTTTATAGATTATAACAAAATTTTCTAAGAAGAGAAAATCTCATTTTCTCTAAGATTATTCTAAAGATTTTGACGTATTTATTGAGATGTTGTGGGTAAATTCTAATAAGTCCAATAAACGTGTTTAATTTTAAGAGGTCTTAATTTTTGCTTAAAATCTTTTTGGTACCCAGATGTTGACGTGATATTATTACTTACTACTTATACAAATATTAATTACTTCTACATTTTACACTTATGATAAAATGTTTTATTCCCTATGCTTAACTTTATATTCGGAAAGGATTATTTCCATAAGAATCACGGAATCAAATTATCAAAGAGTTTTAATATATTCCAGAGCTCATAATTCTAAAATTATTTATGTAATTAATATTAGCAATATGCTAAAAAATTATTGAACTATGAAACAAATGTGGAAATAGTACGTAAATTTTATTTATAGAATAGAATTAACTGTTATCGATACATAATATTTAATCAAAATAAATATAGTATAGTAGAAACATGCGCCAGTAAAGACTGGAATGGAGTTTGCTATCTGTTCTCGAGAAAACTTTTCGCTTTTCAATCTTGTTTTGAAGTAAACCAGATATTCTGTTTTCTCAATAACGCTGAGAAAGTGTCGAGACTAAATAACTAATATCGAGGAACTGTAAACCTTACGGAAATTGGTTAAACAGAAAATGGAACTGTGATCTCATCATATGTAACGCCAGAACGTTACGAAGTTCCATTCGCAATAGATATGTGATAACGTTTGAGGAAAATGGATTTTTGTAATCAAGATAGCAGATAAGAGTTACAATCAGACTAAGTAGGTATATAAAATCGGTGTTAATGTGTACAGTTTTTTAAATGCCGATTACAAGTGTGAATGAATTGAAATTAACTTGTATGTGTATTTATCAATTCTGTTCGATTTTTTTTGTAGATTATCTATAACAGTTGCATGTACTATCTTTGTATATCTATCTTCAAGCTAGGTACTTGCGAAGTAGGCAAAGGGAATAGTGTGTTTTGACTTCTGTCCCAATACACAATTCCTACTTCATTCACATTTATAACTCTTACACGTAGGTTCTGGAGTCTTCTGACTACTCCAACAATTTGATCGAGTTAGCTAAGATGCCTCTATACATATACTGTCATATTATACATCTTTAATATGTGTTGCGCTATTGATCTCTGGAGAGCTCGCATGTCATGCAGACGGCAAAGAATAACCTCAGCGGGGATGTATTACATTACACTCTATTTTAGTTGATGGTCGGGTTTACTAAAACCCTGAACATTTTCGTCGTAATCTTAAAAATAATAATTATATAACCTAGGACAATTGACAAAACGTAATTTAGTGCCAAATTAAGCATAGCTTGTGTTATGGGAACTAGACAATTGATGTAAATACTGCAATAAATTTTTGTTTGTAAATAATTGCATAATATACTTACATAGAAAACATCCAGACTTACAAACTCGACTTTTAAATACAAATATCTGCGAGGAAACGAACCTGCAGCCGTCGGAAGTAAAGCCATAGATACCACCAAGGTCGTTGCTGCCAGTATAACTGTAATTTCACTATCATACCTTACTCTTAAACCGGAACACAGCGGGTAAACAATCTGTTTGGAGACAGAATTCATATTTGAGTTAAGCACATACAGGCAAAGAGCATATATTTTGCTGAAAATACATGTTTTAAGGAGTAAAATGGTGGAAATTTATATTAATAATGTATATTATATTATCTATACGTGTGTGTTTAAAATATTTAGTAATTTGTATAATGTATTTTTATGCATAATTAAAAGAAATATTAGTGTTCTGCACCTTTTCTTTATATAAATGGGTATAAGTATGCGTAATTTCATATTTCTCCGTTTTTTTCTTTTTTATGACTTGGCACTTCTGTGCTTTTGCCAATTAACAACATTTGGGAAACAATTGTTCAGGTAAAGGATGTTCAAACAATGATAAGTTTATAGGATCAGGTAAGTTGACAAAAGGATTAAATATAAGGATTAAAATAAGGTACAAATGTGTAGGGTACATGTATTTGATTTACGTATAAATATAATGATTATCAGTCCTATCCTTTGACACTTCTTTTTCACTGTCGCGACGAGTTTTTCAAAGACAATTTCGTCGTATTATTTGTTGAACGAAATGTCCGTCGAGTGAAGACCGTTCCGTCTTATCGTGATAGGGTCACTAAATCACTTACCACGTCAGCTGTTAACCCTCTGTCGGCGAATAATCAATCGTCTTGGGTCAGACCGTTTTGTAAACTGTTATCAATTACAATTGGATGTAATTTAAAATAATTTCATTTGACCGTGGGTTTCGTGGTTTTAGTCGGGTACGCCGTCTTACGCCCTCAATTGAGGACTAAAGTCAGCTATTTAT